TAGTATTATATCTACAGTAATCATGGCCAACTGTACCGATTGATTTATCTACAGTTCATGACCAACTGTACCGGTGTATTGATGTTATATCTACAGTAATCATGACCAACTGTACCGTATTGTGTATTGAATCAATTTATATAGTTATATCTACAGTAATCATGGCCAACTGTACCGGTTATATATGTTATATAGTTATATCTACAGTAATCATGGCCAACTGTACCGGTGTATTGATATAGTTATATCTACAGTAATCATGGCCAACTGTACCGGTGTATTGATGTTATATAGTTATATCTACAGTAATCATGGCCAACTGTACCGGTGTATTGATGTTATATCTACAGTAATCATGGCCAACTGTACCGGTGTATTGATGTTATATCTACAGTAATCATGGCCAACTGTACCGGTGTATTGATGTTATATCTACAGTAATCATGGTCAACTATACCGGTGTATTGATGTTATATCTACAGTAATCATGACCAACTGTACCGGTGTATTGATGTTATATAGTTATATCTACAGTAATCATGGCCAACTGTACCGGTGTATTGATGTTATATCTACAGTAATCATGACCAACTGTACCGGTGTATTGATGTTATATCTACAGTAATCATGGCCAACTGTACCGGTGTATTGATGTTATATCTACAGTAATCATGGCCAACTGTACCGGTGTATTGATGTTATATAGTTATATCTACAGTAATCATGGCCAACTGTACCGGTGTATTGATGTTATATCTACAGTAATCATGACCAACTGTACCGGTGTATTGATGTTATATCTACAGTAATCATGGTCAACTGTACCGGTGTATTGATGTTATATCTACAGTAATCATGACCAACTGTACCGGTGTATTGATGTTATATCTACAGTAATCATGGTCAACTGTACCGGTGTATTGATGTTATATCTACAGTAATCATGGTCAACTGTACCGGTGTATTGATGTTATATCTACAGTAATCATGGTCAACTGTACCGGTGTATTGATGTTATATCTACAGTAATCATGACCAACTGTACCGGTGTATTGATGTTATATAGTTATATCTACAGTAATCATGACCAACTGTACCGGTGTATTGATGTTATATAGTTATATCTACAGTAATCATGGTCAACTGTACCGGTGTATTGATGTTATATCTACAGTAATCATGACCAACTGTACCGGTGTATTGATGTTATATCTACAGTAATCATGTACCGGTGTATTGATGTTATATCTACAGTAATCATGGCAACTGTACCGGTGTATTGATGTTATATCTACAGTAATCATGACCAACTGTACCGGTGTATTGATGTTATATAGTTATATCTACAGTAATCATGGCCAACTGTACCGGTGTATTGATGTTATATCTACAGTAATCATGACCAACTGTACCGGTGTATTGATGTTATATAGTTATATCTACAGTAATCATGGCCAACTGTACCGGTGTATTGATGTTATATAGTTATATCTACAGTAATCATGGCCAACTGTACCGGTGTATTGATGTTATATAGTTATATCTACAGTAATCATGGCCAACTGTACCGGTGTATTGATGTTATATAGTTATATCTACAGTAATCATGGCCAACTGTACCGGTGTATTGATGTTATATCTACAGTAATCATGGCCAACTGTACCGGTGTATTGATGTTATATCTACAGTAATCATGACCAACTGTACCGGTGTATTGATGTTATATCTACAGTAATCATGACCAACTGTACCGGTGTATTGATGTTATATAGTTATATCTACAGTAATCATGACCAACTGTACCGGTGTATTGATGTTATATCTACAGTAATCATGACCAACTGTACCGGTGTATTGATGTTATATCTACAGTAATCATGGTCAACTGTACCGGTGTACTACAGTAATCATGACCATGTATTGACCAACTGTACCGGTGTATTGATGTTATATCTACAGTAATCATGACCAACTGTACCGGTGTATTGATGTTATATCTACAGTAATCATGGCCAACTGTACCGGTGTATTGATGTTATATCTACAGTAATCATGACCAACTGTACCGGTGTATTGATGTTATATAGTTATATCTACAGTAATCATGGCCAACTGTACCGGTGTATTGATGTTATATAGTTATATCTACAGTAATCATGACCAACTGTACCGGTGTATTGATGTTATATCTACAGTAATCATGACCAACTGTACCGGTGTATTGATGTTATATCTACAGTAATCATGACCAACTGTACCGGTGTATTGATGTTATATCTACAGTAATCATGGCCAACTGTACCGGTGTATTGATGTTATATCTACAGTAATCATGACCAACTGTACCGGTGTATTGATGTTATATAGTTATATCTACAGTAATCATGGCCAACTGTACCGGTGTATTGATGTTATATCTACAGTAATCATGACCAACTGTACCGGTGTATTGATGTTATATCTACAGTAATCATGGCCAACTGTACCGGTGTATTGATGTTATATCTACAGTAATCATGGCCAACTGTACCGGTGTATTGATGTTATATCTACAGTAATCATGACCAACTGTACCGGTGTATTGATGTTATATCTACAGTAATCATGACCAACTGTACCGGTGTATTGATGTTATATAGTTATATCTACAGTAATCATGGCCAACTGTACCGGTGTATTGATGTTATATCTACAGTAATCATGACCAACTGTACCGGTGTATTGATGTTATATCTACAGTAATCATGGCCAACTGTACCGGTGTATTGATGTTATATCTACAGTAATCATGACCAACTGTACCGGTGTATTGATGTTATATAGTTTTATGTCGCCACAAAGATTGGAGGACATTGAGTACGTAAACATGAGCTTTGTTTAATTAGCTGTTTTCCGACATCACTAACATGCACAAACAAATCTCTAACCTCATCCTGTGGTTGTTATCTTGCCAAGACATTTTCTAATCAAAATTCCATTTTAATGTAAAATTCCTCAATACCAGATCGTAGAATTCCATGGTTAATTAGTGCTTATGTTGTTGGTATGTATATTGCATGTTTGTACTTTTACAAATTTACACAGAAGTTGATGGCAAGCAAATAAAATCCTGTTAAAACATTACATGGTCGGACTGTTCCAGCGCACTTCATCAAATCGGTTAAATGTTGCACATGTCCATAGGTTGGTTTTATCTTCTTTATAATATACGCCTTCTAGACACGGAACACTGGAACTGAACCATCCGATTACCGTCCTTGGACTGGTTTAGAAGAGTAGACGGATTGGTCAGCTGGTCAGTAATATCAGTTATTTATAGTAACATGTTTGGTTTTATGTCTATCAATTCAAACTGACCAATATTTCGAAGATAGCAAAATAACTCTCTTAAACTCTAAATGTTCACGTGACAGATAAAACATAATTAGGTACTGTCTAATAATGAAAAAGTCATCCGACTTCGTTTCAGTTAGATCTTACTCTCAGATTTCAATATATCGATATAAGATTCATATGTATCTCGTATACTAAATAGAATTATCTCCTCTTAAAGGGTAAAGAAGAACGTCACTCGAACATACCTACAGCTATATAAGATCATTTCGCCGTTGACCAAGACAGTTACATCATGTACAATACGTTGGTTAATTGATGTATACAAAGAGTATATTATCAGTGCCTTCAAATCTAAGCTGTGAGGGTGATGAAAAACAAAAGTCGTCAGGCATTTCAACATTTACTGAAAATTCAGAGTCGAAACTTCCAGCAGATTGTTGTCAATCTTTTTTTACCATGCGCACGCCAAAATCACTTGTTGAAACAGTTATTTTTTTCAAATGTGGTTTTAAATGTGTACAGCTGCTTTCCATTACTGTCGAATACACCAAAATATATATAAGGCAGGTGTATTCAGGCAATGGTAGCGCCAGTTGCGGGTTAAACTTGATAAGCCGCAACACTGTCTTCTCATCGACCACAACATTGTACTCCGATGGCGTTATCGAGATTCTCTATTGAACTGTACGCCCACAATTTAAAATGTTGCTTGTCGAAATGGCAACAGACTAGATAACATATTCTCAAAATGATGGCTTTTAGATAAAAATAACAATCTTCCCGTCACTGAATCCGACTTAAGGGGAGAACGTTATGACTAAGGTCATATATTGAATGATGAGGCATGTCACCCTAGTCCAGAGGACAAGCTGCAGGGTGTTGGCGTCCACATTACCATCTCTGTGACATACGACTTTTGTTACAATCAAATGTATATTAAAATGAAAACAATATGATATACATATCTGTCAGTTTGTAACATTATATCTAAACCTTTCAATATATACAACTCATGTCACATACTATGTTGTATGATTGATAAGTGATGGATGGATCTTGCATGAGGACACCAACAGTATTTCCTTAGTTTTATATATATGAGAGAGAAAATCGACTAAACAGTTAAACTGTTTCATAATTTGAATATAAGCAATCACCGTCCAATCGATATCTTGATGAGCATCAATACGGTTTGGTTACAGTAGTTTTCGTTCATATTCAATTCAGTAATCGGCCGTATATTTCGAAATGTTTATCCTTAGAGAGTGAAAATGTACAGCAAATGTAAAAATCACAACAGGCCCAACTTAGTGTAACTTATCAGAAACATAACATAAATAGACTAATAGAAAACTGAAATGAAGGTTTTAAAAAGTACTGAATAATACCACGCGTCGAGGTTTTCTCCGTTTTCAATATATTCTGAAAATATTTCTACATTGATAAGGCGTCCGACTTCGAATCAGAAAGTTGCGAGTTCGAGTCTCGTCGTGGCCATGTGTGTATTTTTTATTATTTCATTTCAACAAATTTTATTGACAAGATGTAAACGTCAAATTGGATTGAATAACAGGCAAAGCCCATGTAAATTCTCTCCAAACATTGAAGTGGCTAGAAGTAGAACACATGTAATTAGGACTGAAAAATAACAAATGCAAGGGAGGTATTATCATTAATTTCATCTGCTATACGTTTTTTCATCAAGTTAAACTTTTATGTTACTTTTCCATAGATCGAACATAGCTTCGTATCAGTCAAGAGACTTAATATCCAACCAACCATTGCACTACATGTAATTAACAAGTATCACATCAGTATTTCTCCTGTTAAGAAATTATGTATAAATCAAAAGACATGTCCACCTGTGAAAGTACATATGATTTGTTTACTTTTCGTATTTCAGTTGCCCATAACAGTCGGGTGTTCTCGTGAAAAGTAGATGTTCCATCAACTGACCGCTATCCTAATACGGGTGTACAGTATACGCGCTATATATTTTTTTCATTTTATTTTAAGAAATAAGATTGGGAAAAACTACCTGAATGTAAAATGTAAATATATGGATTAGTAATCACATCATTTTTGTTCATTACCAATAATTGTAAAATACCAAACACAAAAACATTCATTAATGAATATCAACGTCTTATTTTAAAACTGTTATTGGCCAATTATAACAATAAGTGTTCATCGCATCCGTGTCCCCCTTTTATCCACTCCTGGTCGTTGTACAATAGGTTTATTGATGTCCAACACTGCGACATCGATGCTCAATTGTTTTCAATGGTAAGGAAAGTGCTGTCATGTTTGTTGTGTGACAGCCTTGTTTGTTGTCAGTGTCTCTGGGAAAAACACGTCTTCTGTTGTCAGTCTCTGAGAAGGGTGCCTTTCTACACCCAGAAACACCTAAAATCATCGCATTAGTACAAAAACCACAGGTACTGTAATCTAAGTTATATTTAATGTTGGTTTCAGTTCATGCCACTTATTTCTAAGCGTTTGTTTCACGACGTCATCAGCAAAAATGGCGTCTATGCTAGCAAGAGACAGCGTCCATACCGACTGTCTGTCCAGTTTAAATGTACGGGCCGCTATAGCATACTCCTCTGACAACGTGGTATCAAACATGCCTTTGTCGTCTGTCTGTAACATATATCAAAATTATTAGAAAACGTGGTATCAAACATGCCTTTGTCGTCTGTCTGTAACATATATCAAAATCATTAGAAAACGTGGTATCAAACATGCCTTTGTCGTCTGTCTGTAACATATATCAAAATAATTAGAAAACGTGGTATCAAACATGCCTTTGTCGTCTGTCTGTAACATATATCAAAATAATTAGAAAACGTGGTATCAAACATGCCTTTGTCGTCTGTCTGTAACATATATCAAAATAATTAGAAAACGTGGTATCAAACATGCCTTTGTCGTCTGTCTGTAACATATATCAAAATAATTAGAAAACGTGGTATCAAACATGCCTTTGTCGTCTGTCTGTAACATATATCAAAATAATTAGAAAACGTGGTATCAAACATGCCTTTGTCGTCTGTCTGTAACATATATCAAAATAATTAGAAAACGTGGTATCAAACATGCCTTTGTCGTCTGTCTGTAACATATATCAAAATAATTAGAAAACGTGGTATCAAACATGCCTTTGTCGTCTGTCTGTAACATATATCAAAATAATTAGAAAACGTGGTATCAAACATGCCTTTGTCGTCTGTCTGTAACATACATCAAAATAATTAGAAAACGTGGTATCAAACATGCCTTTGTCGTCTGTCTGTAACATATATCAAAATAATTAGAAAACGTGGTATCAAACATGCCTTTGTCGTCTGTCTGTAACATACATCAAAATAATTAGAAAACGTGGTATCAAACATGCCTTTGTCGTCTGTCTGTAACATATATCAAAATAATTAGAAAACGTGGTATCAAACATGCCTTTGTCGTCTGTCTGTAACATATATCAAAATAATTAGAAAACGTGGTATCAAACATGCCTTTGTCGTCTGTCTGTAACATATATCAAAATAATTAGAAAACGTGGTATCAAACATGCCTTTGTCGTCTGTCTGTAACATATATCAAAATAATTAGAAAACGTGGTATCAAACATGCCTTTGTCGTCTGTCTGTAACATATATCAAAATAATTAGAAAACGTGGTATCAAACATGCCTTTGTCGTCTGTCTGTAACATATATCAAAATCATTAGAAAACGTGGTATCAAACATGCCTTTGTCGTCTGTCTGTAACATATATCAAAATAATTAGAAAACGAACATCGGACAAAATACATTACCAATAGAAATATAGACTGTATCATCAAAGAATTTAAAAACAGAAATTTACAAATGTCCATGTATTTATTTTTGTTAGAGACATTTGATTAAATTGTAAATTCTATTTGATTTCAAAGATCACAATTGTAAGTAAACAACTAGGTAATAAATTGACAAGATCCAGGACATCGTAGGCAAGATCCGGGAAAACGTAGGCAAGATCCGGGACAACGTAGGCAAGATCCAGGGGCCAAGATCCAGGACAACAAAGGCAAGATCAGGAATAACGTAGGCAAGATCCGGGACAATGTAAGCATGATCTAGGACAACGGAGGCAAGATCCGGGAAAACATAGGCAAGATCCGGGACAACGGAGGCAAGATCAGGAATAACGTAGGCAAGATCCGGGACAATGTAAGCATGATCTAGGACAACGGAGGCAAGATCCGGGACAACGTAGGCAAGATCCGGGACAACGGAGGCAAGAACCAGGACAACGGAGGCAATATCCGGGACAACGGAGGCAAGATTCGGGGCAATGGAGGCAATATCCGGGACAACGGAGACAAGATCCGGGGTAATGGAGACAAGGTCCGGGACAACGTAGGCAAGATCCAGGACAACGGAGGCAACATCCGGGACAACGGAGGCAAGATCTGGGGCAATGGAGACAAGATCCGGGACAACGTAGGCAAGATCCGGGATATCGTAGGCAAGATCCGGGACAACGTAGGCAAGATCCGGGACAACGTAGGCAAGATCCAGGGGCCAAGATCCTGGACAACGTAGGCAAGATCCAGGACAACAAAGGCAAGATCAGGAATAACGTAGGCAAGATCCGGGACAATGTAAGCATGATCTAGGACAACGGAGGCAAGATCCGGGAAAACATAGGCAAGATCCGGGACAACGGAGGCAAGATAAGGAATAACGTAGGCAAGATCCGGGACAATGTAAGCATGATCTAGGACAACGGAGGCAAGATCCGGGACAATGTAAGCATGATCTAGGACAACGGAGGCAAGATCCGGGAAAACGTAGGCAAGATCCGGGACACCGGAAGCAAGATCCAGGACAACGGAGGCAATATCCGGGACAACGGAGGCAAGATTCGGGGCAATGGAGGCAATATCCGGGACAACGGAGGCAAGATCCGGGGCAATGGAAACAAGATCCGGGACAACGGAGGCAAGATCAGAAATAACGTGGGAAAGATCCGGGACAACGGAGGCAAGATCCAGGACAACGGAGGCAATATCCGGGACAACGGAGACAAGATCCGGGGCAATGGAGACAAGATCCGGGACAACGCAGGCAAGATCCAGGACAACGGAGGCAAGATCAGGAATAACGTGGGAAAGATCCGGGACAACGTAGACAAGATCCGGGACAATGTAGGCAAGATCCTGAACAACGGAGGCAAGATTTGGGACAACGTAGACAAGATCCGGGACAACTTGGGAAAGATCTGGGACAACGTAGGCAAGATCCAGGACAATGTAAGCATGATCTAGGACAACGGAGGCAAGATTGTGGACAACGTAGGCAAGATCCAGGACAACGGAGGCAAGATCCGGGACAACGTAGGCAAGATCCAGGACAACGGAGGCAAGATCAGGAATAACGTGGGCAAGATCCGGAACAACGTAGACAAGATCCGGTACAATGTAGGCAAGATCCAGGATAACGTGGGCAAGATCTGGGACAACGTAGGCAAGATTCTGGACCACGTAGGCAAGATCTGGGACAACGTAGGCAAGGTGTGGGACAACGTGGGCAAGATCTGGGACAACGGAGGCAAGATCCGGGACAATGTGGGCAAGAACCGGAACAATGCAGGTAAGATTCATACTTTTAGTAGTGTTTGAACAAACATCAACAAACAGTACATATTCTGTATAAAATTTTTACCATATGTTGATATGAGTCACCACGAAGGAATTCAGAAATACCGAATTTCGCAAAAAAAAAAAAAAAAAACACTGAAATATATAAGGCAAAAACAAAATCAATACAGTAATGACATCACGGCATCATTTACATATCCGATCTATCTGATAATGAACATTTTGCAATATGGTACAGCAGTAATAACATCCTGTAATTAGTATGTTATCTAAGTTATCTTATCTAAAAAAAAGTCAGGCGATACCCTTATTTGCAAATTCATACAGTTATCAGTTTTACTTGGTGTTATAAATTAAATACAAATGTTTGTTGAGGTACTGGGTTTATCGCCCCGCGAACAGCCAGAGTCACTGTAAAACTGGGCTGCCTCACTGATCATCATGCGGGAAGCCCGTCGCATGGTATCTACAGCAATCTGGGTGAAGTGTGTTGCATATGGACAGTTCATACGGTACGTGAATTCAAGACAATGTGAACTCGGGTCAGTGTGAATCAAATACCGACGGAGGAACAATACCATAATGCATTCCGTACAAAAAATGATGGGCGTTTAAAAGTGTATGTTAAAAGTGTGTGTCAAAAGTGTTTGTCAAAGGAGATACTAGTACACTACATCTATTGATAGAAAAAGCATTTATTACATTCACAGTCAGCGAATAATGTGATGATAAACGATAGCAAATCACTGAAAACTAAGGAGAGAAAAGCCTCGAACTGTTATGATTTTCACCGAACATATCGATTCAGGGAATTAATGTGCTTCAACAAGTTCCATCGGCAATGCAAATGACCAATACATCACCAACAATACACCATCTGGAGAAAAGAGGCAAACCTAAGAACATGGTTTACGCTGGTAGATATACACAAGAAACAATCAGCAGAGTTATGTATGAATAGCCTTATCATACCACCAAGAGTTGGTGAGCCCCAGTAATACTGGTAGTGAGTGATGATGGAACCCATCATCGACCTCGGTTATTGGAGATGGCTGACAGCGAGACCATTAAGGTCAAATCGCACCAAAGCAACTTATGAATTTATATGACATTCCGGACCCGTAATTAATTCTCCTGACGAGTCGGCACAATGAGGCGGAACATTGGTTTGTGTATACAAGCGTGGAGCAAGAATGCACTTTGTACAAATTGATTGTCGCTATGGGTATATATTACTTGCAGGAAAGAAGTTTCTAAATAGTAAATTTATTCAATGTTAAGTGTGAAAATTCATCCCATCTTCCATTAATGCCTTTTGATTCAATTAAAAATATTTGTCAAAGTCACATCTTACAAAGTCCCATGTACGACTAATATTCTATAACTGTAAAGGTAATGTTAAACCTTGTGATGGTTATACAAACATCCTAGTGTGTTGATAACCCCGTTAGGTAGGTTAATATAGATACGATAATGTTTGTAGAAAATCTATGTTAAAGTTTTGTATATGTTTACAGAAGACATGTACAATTATGAATATTGACGCCGGCTAATAATTGCATTTAAAAAAACAACGATAAATGATTTCTGCTTTATCCCTATTAATGATATCAATCACTTCCGGTATCTTGTAATATTAATGATATCAAACACTAACGGTACCTTGTAAAATTAATGACATCAAACACTTACGGTACCTTGTAATATTAATGACATCAAACATTTACGGTACCTCGTCGTGATGATGACATTAAAATCATCTACTTCTTGTACCCAGTTCAATGCTTACTTTATCGAGTAATATTTATGTAGTTTTAAGGACATTTGCATAAGCTGACAATCAGCTGACGGAAGACTTCAAATCACGCCTCCATCAGCGACTATCTGGTGATGGCAATAATCATAACAACGAGGCGTAGACACCACAGACAAGGCCTGGGTTGATCTTGTATCAAGGAAACAGGCTATCTGACACAACACACATTGATTGCCATCATAAATCATGTCTTTCATGTTGATAAATCTAAGCTAGCTTCTATCAAATTTAATTTAGAGAAGTGCCTAATAAAGTTGACGAAATTGGCAATGAACGTGGTATCTGCGGTGCAACATATGTGCTAAGAGAATGTCCATTTCCCACACCGAGGTGTGTTTTATAGCAAAACATGATTCAATATTATTGAAACCTGGATATGCTGCCATCGTCTCGGAAAGAACTCATTTAGTATATCAATAAAAATGACTGGCATTCAGGGAATTAAGATGGAGATGAAAGGCGGCTGCCAACAAGTCATATTCTGAGCAATGATCTTAAAGGAGGTGGTAAACACTTCTCACAGTAGTGTTGACAGGATGCTAAAACATTGCACAAGCTTTAAAAGCAATTGTCATGAAACACTCTATATATCATTAAGCTATGTAAGTAAGCACTTAACTAAACATTATCTAGTTAGGGAATACCTTTAGGATATGAACAATGAACATATATCTATTGTCCATTGTTACACCAATACAAATTCTGATATTATCAACTCTCTTGTGGATCTTCTTCAGTCGCAGCTATATCTACAACTTGTATCGTAACTGCTATACATTGTTAACCTGTTGTAGATTACACAACAATCATCAATATCATACAATCTAACTCGGTTGTGAACCTCAGCAAATCAACATTACTTACATTTGTACACAGTAACTCGTTTATCTCAATAGCCGACATTTGTTACTGTTATACAATGTAACTCGGTTGTGAACCTCAGCAAATCAACATTACTTACATCTATACACTGTAACTCGTGTATCTCAATAGCCGACATTTGTTACTGTTATACAATCTAAGTCGGTTGTGAACCTCAGCAAATCAACATTACTTACATCTGTACACTGTAACTCGTGTATCTCAATAGCCGACATTTGTTACTGTTATACAATCTAAGTCGGTTGTGAACCTCAGCAAATCAACATTACTTACCTCTGTACACTGTAACTCGTGTATCTCAATAGCCGACATTTGTTACTGCTATCTACTGTAGCTCGGTTGTGGATGTCAGTAAACTTACACTAGTTACTGCTATCCATTGTGACTCTGTAAGACGGTTGTGGATGTCAGTAAACTGACATTCGTTACTGCTATCCATTGTAGCTCGGTAGTGGATGTCAGTGAACTGACATTCGTTACTGCTATCCTTTGTATCTCGGTTGTGGATGTCAGTGAACTGACATTCGTTACTGCTATCCATTGTAGCTCGGTAGTGGATGTCAGTGAACTGACATTCGTTACTGCTATCCATTGTAACTCGGTTGTGGATCTAAATAAACTGACATATGTTACTGCTATCCACTGTAACTCGATTGTGGATGTCAGTAAACTGACATTCGTTACTGCTATCCATTGCAACTCGTTTGTGGATGAAAGTGAACTGACATTTGTTACTGCTATCCACTGTAGCTCGGTTGTGGATGTCAGTGAGCTGACATTCGTTACTGCTATCTATTGTAGCTTGGTAAGACGGTTGTGGATGTCAGTAAACTGACCATTCATTACTGCTATCCATTATCTTTTTAAATAGACACAATAGTGCTGAATAATGAATGAAATCAACGCTTTCTGAAATTTGTAAGTACTTACACCAATAATGCAAGGATGGTTTTTGTTGTACCAGAACTGGAACTGATGTTGATCATAGTTTGGAACTGTCTGACCTTTTACATTGGAGGTTAAACACAGTTCTAAAAGAAAAGGCAAAAAACAGCACTCATGAATCCAAGCTTTTCATTGCAAAATAAAATGTTTTATGAACCCCAGCTGCTTCAAGTATACCACAACTCAAAATTATCTTTGCTGTTCCCAGTTGATGAAGTCAACAAACATAATTTTAAGTACATTGTGTTGCCTGAATCATGAAATACACCAAGCTATTTTTGGTTTTTGTATCATGACATAAAATTTTTGATTGACCATTAGAAAATGAAAGAATTTCTCACGAAAGGAAAAAATAAAGTAAAAAGTCTGTGTTCTGTTTAAATAAGATCAAAATAACTTTTCACTAATCTATCTCACTTCTTTACAAATGCATCAAGTGTGACCTCTGACATTTTAATTCTACCTTTCATCCAGAATAGCTAAGCAGGTGACAGATCTTAATTATTACAATAGATGTTGCATGTACAAGCAATTTTCATACAAAACTTTTTCATATTCAAATGGATCAAATATTATCTTTTTGATTTAGGAGTAGGACTCAATGTATTCAATATTATCTACCTAGTGGTATCTTGTGTTACTGATGTAGTGGTATCTTGTGTTACTGATGTAGTGGTATCTTGTGTTACTGATGTAGTGGTATCTTGTGTTACTGACATAGTGGTATCTTGTGTTACTGACATAGTGGTATCTTGTGTTACTGACATAGTGGTATCTTGTGTTACTGATATAGTGGTATCTTGTGTTACTAACATAGTGGTATCTTGTGTAACTAACATAGTGGTATCTTGTGTTACTGACATAGTGGTATCTTGTGTTACTGACATAGTGGTATCTTGTGTTACTGACATAGTGGCATCTTGTGTTACTGACATAGTGGTATCTTGTGTTACTAACACAGTGGTATCTTGTGTTACTGACATAGTGGTATCTTGTGTTACTGACATAGTGGCATCTTGTGTATCTTGTGTTACTAACATAGTGGCATCTTGTGTTACTGACATAGTGGTATCTTGTGTTACTGACATAGTGGTATCTTGTGTTACTGATGTAGTGGTATCTTGTGTTACTGACATAGTGGTATCTTGTGTTACTGACATAGTGGTATCTTGTGTTACTGACATAGTGGTATCTTGTGTTACTGATGTAGTGGTATCTTGTGTTACTGACATAGTGGTATCTTGTGTTACTGACATAGTGGTATCTTGTGTTACTGACAAAGTGGTATCTTGTGTTACTAACACAGTGGTATCTTGTGTTACTAACATAGTGGTATCTTGTGTTACTGACATAGTGGTATCTTGTGTTACTGACATAGTGGTATCTTGTGTTACTGACATAGTGGTATCTTGTGTTACTGACAAAGTGGTATCTTGTGTTACTAACACAGTGGTATCTTGTGTTACTAACATAGTGGTATCTTGTGTTACTAACATAGTGGTATCTTGTGTTACTGACATAGTGGTATCTTGTGTTACTAACATAGTGGTATCTTGTGTTACTAACATAGTGGTATCTTGTGTTACTGACATAGTGGTATCTTGTGTTACTGATGTAGTGGTATCTTGTGTTACTGACATAGTGGCATCTTGTGTTACTAACATAGTGGCATCTTGTGTTACTGACATAGTGGTATCTTGTGTTACTAACACAGTGGTATCTTGTATTACTGACATAGTGGTATCTTGTGTTACTGACATAGTGGTATCTTGTGTTACTGACATAGTGGTATCTTGTGTTACTGACATAGTGGTATCTTGTGTTACTAACATAGTGGTATCTTGTGTTACTAACATAGTGGTATCTTGTGTTACTAACATAGTGATATCTTGTGTTACTAACATAGTGGTATCTTGTGTTACTAACATAGTGGTATCTTGTGTTACTGACATAGTGGTATCTTGTGTTACTGATGTAGTGGTATCTTGTGTTACTGACATAGTGGTATCTTGTGTTACTAACATAGTGGTATCTTGTGTTACTGACATAGTGGTATCTTGTGTTACTGACATAGTGGTATCTTGTGTTACTGACATAGTGGTATCTTGTGTTACTGATATAGTGGTATCTTGTGTTACTGACAGAGTGGTATCTTGTGTTACTAACATAGTGGTATCTTGTGTTACTAACATAGTGGTATCTTGTGTTACTGACATAGTGGTATCTTGTGTTACTGACATAGTGGTATCTTGTGTTACTGATATAGTGGTATCTTGTGTTACTGACAGAGTGGTATCTTATGTTACTAACATAGTGGTATCTTGTGTTACTGATGTAGTGGTATCTTGTGTTACTGACACAGTGGTATCTTGTGTTACTGACATAGTGGTATCTTGTGTTACTGACGTAGTGGTATCTTGTGTTACTGATGTAGTGGTATCTAAGTTACTCACAAAGTGATATGCTGTATTATCAAACTAGAGGTAACCTCTGTTATTGACCTAGTGGTACCCTGTGTTACTAGGTATCCTGTTTAACTAAAATATTGGTATTCTGAGTTACTGACCTAGTGGTATTCTGTACTGTAGCACCATATTAACAAGTGTCTCATTCCCACCACATTCTGGTTGTAGACATGTACCGTGACCAATCCGTCCTGTCCTTGCACCCAAATCCTGCAGTATGTGTTTTGTTTCCTCAGGAGCAGGCACCTGAATTTATTATGGAAGGACAATTATCTCAAAATGCAAGAGTTTATTCATAAGACAGTCTATTAATTTCCTGGTATGATTTCTTAGGACGTACAAAAATCAGATGTCCCATTACAATGTACTAACTAATGTTTCTCACAGAATTCTGCATACATATTTCTCATTGCCCTTGAGCTGAACAATATTCAAACCTGTTTCTTTGTACCTTGTTATGTTCTTTTGCTAATCTGTAATTTTTTTTTTGCTGTTAGTTTTTGCAAGACTTATTTTTTGTATTTGTCCCAGTTGTGGCTACTTCATAGAGAGTAAATGTCATGCATGTAATCAAACACAACATCAGAACTAGAATCGTTAGGGTTAAGTAAGGTGAATTATACCTCTGCCAAATGTAAGGAAAGCTTCAGTCCCCTATTGTGGGCCTCATTGAATACAGGCAAATAGTCCCTTGCATCACCAACCTATCAACAACAATAGCAACATTAGTGATAGACACATACATGATCAGATGCAGCTATGTTTAATAAGTATGATAATAACTAACTGGTTGAAATATTTCATCGGCACATTTCTATTCAATAACAACAAAATAACATTTTCTTTTATAAATTATGAGCAATTTCCTATTTATATTCTGATCATCAAAAACAATCATTATAATGTTTATTAAAGTTTGTACCTATGTATCACACCTATTGTTTAATCTATTTTAGAGAAACTTGCTAGTCTTATCAACCATGGTTTTATACTTCTACTGGTAAGTCTCATGTTCAACAACTTAATAATTTTCCCTTTCGGCTGAGATCTCCCTTTTTTAATATACATATCTATCAGAGCCAGGATTAGTTACACAGGAGACAAAGGTATGCTGTGATTATATACATTTATCATATGGTTTAGTTACATGGGAGACAGAGAAATATACAAGGTTACATACATTTATCATACGGTTTAGTTACACGGGAGACAGAGAAATATACAAGGTTATATACATTTATCATACGGTTTAGTTACATGGGAGACAGATAAACAAGGTTATATATATTTATCATAGGGTTCTGTTACATGGGAGACAGAGAAATATACAAGGTTATATACATTTATCATACGGTTTAGTTACATGGGAGACAGATAAATAAACAAGGTTATATATATTTATCATAGGGTTCTGTTACATGGGAGACAGAGAAATATACAAGGTTATATACATTTATCATATGGTTTAGTGACACAGAAAACAGAGAACAAGAAATAATTATATACACGTATCACATGGTTAAGTTACATGGGAGACGGAGATATATACAAGGTTAAATACATCTATCCTATGGTTTAGTTACATAAAAGACAGAGGTATAAAATGGTTACATACATCTACTACATGGTTTAGTTACACAGCATATAGAGAGGTATATGAGTCAAGGTGTTCAATCATATGCTACATTTACGACTGCTAGTTGGAAATCCACTATAAGGGAAATAACTCTTACTTTCCTAAACTATATTAAGCGTGTTCTTCCTATCTTTCCACCTCACACCTTGTCAGACAAATGTGTGAGTTAAATATATAGAATACTCTATTAAACAGTGAAATCAAGTAGATCATTGTGATAACTAGCAAATATTTTGTCTTCTAAATGTAGACAAATTACAAGGACAAGACATATACACTGAAATTTTCAGCCTATATACTTGTTAATTACTGTGGAATTTGAATGAATTTTTGCACAATATGGTAAGATCATGAAGCAGTCTTTCCCTACAGTGTTGTGATCACTGCTATTATCAGCAGTTATAACTTTTATCAGAAATCTGTTAACAACACTGAGTGATCTCTATCACGTCACCATTATCCTACAAGTCAAGATCTGAAATAGAGTCTTATCCTCCTGACTATTCAATTGTAAGGAATACTTTATGACATAAGGAAACTTACCTTTGGATCTCCACTGAAATCTATTCCTATCACCACTCCATTACTGATGTCTCGATAACGTTCTGCTAGCTTCATAGTTGTTAGTGCAATATCCACTCCCAGTCGCCGGTCAATTGAGAGGAGGAAACGGACAATAATATCAAGATAAGATGTGTCCTTAATGGCTTTCAACACTGCCTCCACATACAGCTCACGAGACAGGCCTGTAGCAGTGATCTCCCTTGGAGTACTCCTCAATTCAAGATATTTTACATTGTCTGCAGCAAATTCTTGAATCACATCACATGTTATCTGTAACAAATGATACCAGAGGGATCGTGGCACCCAACATTGAATGATCATATTGATTGTATGCATGACTGATTGATTCTCTTCTATCCCTTTTCCTCTGAATCATTTGATTACAAGAGAATCCTACACATGACATCTAAGAAAGATCTAACAGGAACTTTCTGATAAATAACAATAAAAAAAACTTCAACTGTCGAAATCAAAGATGGCTGCCTGTCATTTATTTTGTTTCACTGATCAGTCGAAAAATGAAAGAAGCACAACTAGGAACTTAGGGATTGAGAAATATCTTTACATTTCGTCTCAAGAACTAGTGATAACAAACTTCAACAGTCAAAATCCAAGATGGCCACCTGTCAACCCTTTTTTTTCACTGATCTAAATTAAATGGATACAACTAGGGAGAGAGGAGTACTGACAATTGAAGATCGTGAAATAACCCAGTGCTTCCAATATTTCTCATGAAATATAAATAACAAGGACGGATTAATGACAGAAATAAATAAATGCTGATTTAACCAGTTCCTTTCAATCATGAGATGGTGGGCTAAACATGTCAATTATGCAAATTGGCTTTCAAATTCATGTCATCGAAACCATCACAAAACTTATATCTCGACTAACATTCAGTTACAATAAATGACTTTTTAAAAGTGCTTTCAGTGATTTATTAAAAGAAAACAAATTTAAGAGTCTCTGACTCATCTGTTTTGGCTGCGATTCAATTTGTTTTAAACTTCTGTTATGCACTGTTTCCAGATACTAAACAGATTATATCATCCAATCATTTCAACAAGATAACCAACAGCTACAGAAATAAACACAAAATCAAGTGCTCTGACATTTATCCTGCCAATTCAAATGTTGTCTTTTTTATGAAACAGCTAACTTGCAACAAAGCATTGATTTCATGAAAGATTGTGATCTGCAGCAGTGCTGGTTTCTTATTGTTTTTAGTTCTTTACTGGTAATTATTTTCCTTGAAAGGGAGGAATGGAGAAGTAAGGGAGATTGAGACATTCTTTTTTGTATGAAGATATAGATTCAAAAACAGGTAACAATCAGTCCATATGACTTTATGAAGCATAAAGTATCTAATGTGGCTCCATACTCACTGAGAGTTTCCTTTCTGTGTCCTTTATTATAAGACATTAATCAGACTATGAACAATCTTCACTCACTAATGCATCATCTAGAATGTCTTTTCTTTTCATTTAAGACATCTATTTTTTCTCATAGGTATTTTGCTATGACTCAATCTTCATTGCAATTTCAATAGCTAACATGTATTATTAAATCATAAATTTATCTTTTAGTATCTAATTATATTATTCTATAAATAGCAAAATTTGAACAGTAAACATAAGTGACATAATTAGTAGATACTGATATACAAATGTATCTCTGGTTTATTGTGAAACTTACAATATATATGTCTTCTGCACAATCAGATAATGTTTGCATCAACTTCAATCTTTTGAAAGAACTGAAAAAAAAACAATAAAAAACCCAGATAACCAGAAAAGATAGGAAAATAATTGCAGAAGTTCAACAAAATATATCATTGAGAAATACATTTTGATATTGAATCAGATTGTTTTCAATTATCATAAAATTTTTAAATGAACATAAATGATTTGAATTGAAAATATGCAGATGTATGTAACCCTGGTAAATACTAGCCACAATCTACCACTCTGCTAGAGTGAACTTCTGGTAAAATACTAACCACAAAATATCACTAGAGAGAACTCTTCAGCTTGATTGGTTGAGCCTCCGACTAGTAAGCCAGAGATCCTGGGTTCAAATCCTAGTGGCGGCATTTAAATAAAGAATGACCTCTGTTACATTGGACCCAGGAATAGAACTTCGCTATGCCCCACCAGCATGGCGGTAACCCCTGGAAACTCGACAAGTTATTTCCTGGAGGGAGAGTATGTAACCCTGGTAAAAACTAGTCTCAATATACCACTCGGCAAGAGAAAACTTCTCTTTAGCTAGATTGGTTGAGCATCAGACAAGTAATCCAGGGGTCTCGAGTTCGATTCCTAGGGGAGGCATTGAAATATATGATGACCTCTGTTACATGTACATCTACTTCTCAAAATGTTCATTTATCAATAAAATGAAAAAGTTTAATATTGGTGAGTACTGACTTACTCTTCCAGAGGTTCTGTCTGTTTCTTGTCAAATCGTACATTTGATATCTCTTCCTCTCGCCCTTTTCTCTTCAATAATTTTTTTATTGTCTCCTCACTGATTGAGCCATTAATATGAGCATGCAGTTCCTGTTTTCAAAACAAGTTAATTCCTTACATGATTATAAATATTTTTTATGATCATACAGTTTCTAAATATAGCAGACATCAAACACAAAAGAACCAGATTAATATCAACACATTAACCACAGCAGAAACACTGTAAAATTTGGTACTGGAAATAAACAACAATAGTCACAGGTTCCTACATTCAGATAAAGAAACCATGAAACTGATTTTAACACAATTATATACATACAGCATGTAACCATGATATTGCAGTTACATTTTCCTTGTCCACATCAAGTATGAAACAAGGATTGATAAAAGAAACATATTAATGAACCATTTACAAAATAATAATAACAATAACCAGTCTCGAGCATTTCAAAGTCTCTAATTGTTTTTGCATGTCTCATAGCTTTCCAACAATTTTGTTACTAATCTTACCACTTTCGGGAGGCGATGATAAAAATCTTTGTTATCCATTCTCACAATTGCTTATCTCTCGAACAGGATAAAAAAACTGCATCATATGAATAAGAACAAATTTTTAAAATGCATTAAAATATGTGATTTGGTTGATACAGTTGTTCAAATACAGTTATGTCAAGTAGCCCGACTTTCGTCCGGCTGAACGCTAGGAACTGGACATTTTGATGACAGCTGTTTGAACGTTTGGTGTGTCAAAGGCAAAGAGCATAGGTACAAGTTAATATGTAAATACTTAATACGACAGGTGGTGGACTGAACTTACTGGTAGAAGAGGGAATGAATAAGGGTTGCACATGTGTTCAATGAAAACACATTGTTCGAGTAATGAGTACTGAATATTTCAGTGTAAAAACACTTTACGGTGTATGTATATATCCAATTAAATCCAACGTTCAGAGTAATATCATTTCATCATCTGGCAGTACAATTTGTGCAATTAATGTTATGATTGTATTGTATATAATTGTGTAGATTTAGTACATGCAGACGTCACTAACCGTAGGTCAAAGGTTATAGCACTATTTTGTTTTTCACAGCAAAGAGTTTCTAGGCGCGTTCGTTTCTGTCCACATTGAGCGAATAAGAAACAAACCATATGCGCTTTCTTTTATCCGGTCGTAACGGGACGCAGGTGAAACGTTAAAGAACAGGCTCGAACCGTGTTTTCATCCCGATATGACGACCAATGATAAACTTTACCAAAAATTCACTTTATCGGGTATAGACAATTATACTGACGTTGTAATTGCATATTCTCAAGCAGATTTTACAAATATTTACAAAATAGTAAACATATTCAATCAGATATTTTCTGTTTTAAAAATTCTCCTGTAAAGTCAATACAAGATGAAAAAAATCATGAAATAACTGTTTGATATTGATCAAACATTAATATTTATATCATGATTCAGTTAAAAATCATTTTGTAATTGTTTTTATTGTTTTACCTAATTATTCAAAAATAAATAAACCAGTACCATGTGTATTGAACTACATGTATTTTGAGTACTTCATTTGCCGTTTTATTGTTAAATTATTTATTAATCAAATGAGTACATAAGTCATTCGATGAACACGAATATCTAAGCTGCATTCTTCCTTTGTCTGTTTGTTTCTATTTCTTCATAGTTTATGGTAAAAGAGATTATTTTAGAATTGGGCCCCAGCTTTCTAATTAAACATAAACTTTCTTTCAGAACCAAACATGGACTATATCCTTGTACAGAAGAACATTTTTAAGAACGAACTTTTCTCCAATTGAGCCCACCCCTCCCACCCAATGGGGCCTGGATGCATTCTTTATACAGAACTGATTACACTTCACCCAAGGATGCTTCAGATCAGTTTGGACAACATTCTATCATTCTTACGGAAGGAGTAGGATATTAAAGAATTCATTCCATTTCCCCTGTTGGGCAATGATCCACCGTTTATACAAAATAGATAACATTTCCCCGAACACTTTAGACAATTTTGGGCAAAATGTAACTGTTCCTACAGGGAGAGAAGGATTTTTTAATAGAATTTGCTCTATTTCCCCTATATGGCCAGCCCCTCTCGCTCTAAGGGACGAGATCCAACGTTTATTTAAAACTTCACCCAACAATGCTTCAGTCCAAATTTGGTTTGAATCGACTGAGTTGTTCATAACTAGTAGTGAGTTAAAGAAAAAGTTTACGGACGGACGGACGGACGGACGCCGCAATATGCTAATTGCTCATTTGGCCCTTCGGGCCGGGTGATCTAAAGTATCTTTCCAATGAATGCAAGCACGTGCAACTTTTGGTTGATGAAATTCTATCAGCTGATAACCACGTATTTTCAATGAAGCAAAGATTATTTTATAAAATTTATTGTAATAGTAATTCCTACATTTGTTGTGGTCATATAATATATATATATCCAATCTTAGTAACGTCTTAAGCCCGTTTTCTACTATTTTCTTCTTGCAGCTTATATTGACAAAGTATCATGATATATGTAGAATGCCCTATGAACTGTGGCAATAGAAGACATTACAAATGAGAAATGAAAGATTCAACTACATTAGCAAAGTTTCTCTTATCGAACGGTATGTTGTCAGTTGGTACATTTGAGTTAATGCTGCATTTTCCATTTACATGCATTTTGTTAATCATTTTTGCTTTAATAAATGAACATAATACGTGAATAAAATAAGTTTTTAAAAGTATACGGTACACTGTTGTGTATACTTTATTTATTTTGGAACATCGCTAACCTCCCAATACAATTTTCTATTTCCCTCACCTCACTTTGCTCTGAAATGGTCACCGAGATCCTATTTTTTCAATCAACAGCTTGAAATAAGATGGAAGATGTTACGTTTCAACCCAAAAAGCCGAAAGTAATATTACCACTATTGATCAAACTGGTTCTTGTAACCCAAACAAAATAGTTGAACTTTTAATGTATTGGAATGTTGCTATTGAATTACTGGTGAAAATTTGTTTCAGCTAAACCTTTATACAGCTGTGAGAGGGCTAATTAAGCCAAGTATTGATATGTATATAACTGAGCGTAAGGTATTGGTGCTAAGTTACATTTTAAAAGATTGCAGTTGATTTGCTCAAAATAATGCACAATATTTACATTTTCTCCGTCATACTTAAACCAAAAAAAAAAATTAAATTGTACTATCATTGTGAAGTACTATGTTACAATTTTAATTTCGAAACATTTCACTGCAAACAGAAAGTTAAAGCAATACAAAATAAAATCATAATGCCTCGGAATTACAGAGATCTATCATACAAGTATGACTGATCTAACTGTTACTATTTATATACAAAAATATAATACAGCATATAATTAAATCAACTGAATACAACACAGTACTCAACAAAAACAAACCGTACCGTGACAATATTGAATAGTTCAATATGCAAGACAAACGTAGCAGAGATAATGCGCTAATTTGATCAAATTGTCGACTGGAAGCAATGACTGGGTATGTAATCAGTGCTGGGGGTATGAACATACACACTACTTGAATCTTGACAATTGATGTTGGAATTTATACTTTATTTGTACAGATGTTAACATATGTAGAACCATAGGATTATTGCCAAATTCTACGAAGTTCCAACAACGTTGGTTTTCTTTTATTCCGAGCCTTTCCACTCCGTCAAAATGTGCCAGACTAGAATTTAACACCGATAATACAGACGGGTTTAGACAATGGGCTTCCATTATGTCAATATTGGCCATAGGTTATGACGGTTTATTCCCACCTAGCCCACATTTGAAAATATCACAGGTACAGGTAGTTTTCACATCTCTTTACCTGAGGGTTGTAGTTTGTTTCAATTAATTAACCACACCTAGAAGTAACCCCAACTTTGCACTCAAGCATCCAAGCTTGTGTATATTAAACAATTGTCTTTGTTTTCATGAACAGATTTATTCCTTATAAGTTAATTATAAAATAATTAAAATGTTAGTGAATATTTATCAAAGTACTGAAGTGTGAAAATATGAATATTAATCAAAGCTTATTAGATAATTTGATTATTAATCAAAGCTGATTAGAGAAATTGTTCAATATAAGCCATGTAGATAGAATATATAAGACAGTTGATTTCTAAATCCTTTAACAGTTTCAACATGACTAATGCTCAGCTACAGGTTGATTTTCTGGATAATTACCGGGGTGGATTTTTTCTTGTGTATGCGGGGTACAAATATTCTGTGATATCTCATCATGGCCAGAGGTGTTATTGGAGGTGTGTTGATCGTCAGTGTGGTTCCAGGATTACGACCATTGATAATGTGCCAGTTTCATTCGGGCGGGACCATACACATTCGACGGATATTGTTGGAATAACTGCTGCAGCATTTATTGCCGATGTGGAAAAAAAGATGCCGGGAGGAGGTTAACCAAATGTCAATGGGTATTTGACAGTGGTTATATTTTAGTTCTGTATCTTATTTCTGTATGTCTACTTTTTTCATGTGCTTTAGTACTTCATATAAAACTATAAAATGAAATAAACAAAAATAGTGCTTATATTGTACAGTTATGTTTAAATTATAGTAAATTAATATTTCTGTAGTTCTGTATATGTGATGACTTTTAAAATAAAATGACTAAAAATGTTGTATATGTTTCAATTTTTGTGTGATATGTTCAGTGCTGTGTTTTTTTTAATGAATGACATTTGAATTAAAATTAGATGAGTAAAAACTCTTTGTTTATCATGAATTTATATATTTTGATATTGAAATAAAAATGATGAGTATAAACATCTTGTATATTGTTTTACTGTGCTTTTTATTTCAATATTGCTGTAAAAGTGAGAATATTTATATTTTGGTGAAATATTTAAAAAAAAATATATAAGAAAATATCAGAAATTTACCCTTATATACATATATCATGTAAACTATACTGATTTTATGAAAGAGTCTTTTAGGGCAATTAAAATCCATTGTTCTTAAACACACACCAGTTCCTTCTAGCCCAAATTTTTTTACCTGAAAAAATAGAATGTGGGCTAAGTGGGAATACAGGGTTATGACATATACTTTATTTTTGTCATTTTTTGAATGGACACCAATATTATGATATCCCAGGCAGGAAGGCATTAAGATTCACTTATCTATATGGTACAGTGTAATGAACCTGTAATGCGATATATACATGTAACATAATAAAACCATAAATTTGCGACAAAAACATGTGATTGCGTGCGAGGTGCCTTAATATCATAATTAACGAAAATCGTTTATAGTGCTTTTTTCATATGCTTAATTTTTCTTTAATCTTCAAGCAGACGAAGACAGGAACATGATGAATTACAAAGACAACCATACTTATGACCAAGAAAATGAAAACCAATACCGTTGAGGTCAACGAAGATTGAGTCAGAGTGGTAGGTTTTTCTACCTGTACATAGGTTACAGGAATTATCGGTCACTGATCGTTTTAAAACTACGGCGGAAGTCATTTTACAGCAATAAACGAAGAATTCAAATTCGAGTTAATACTGGAAATATATTCTTAGTGCAGTGAAAAATGAGGATACAAATCCTTTGTTGATACTTTATTTCAGAATACTGATATTATACAAAAACATCAGTAAAAGATCTCCCAGTAGAAATGATCACCGCCAACACTGAAAACGGAGTACATATAAACAAGTCTAGAAGTACAATATTGTAGGTAACGTTTTCTTTTTGTGATGTCATATCATGGAAACAGTGACCCGAAGAAGAGGACATCCGTTCGCGTGATGTCGAGGATAAAAAGTATAACAATCGATGTCTACCACAGCCTATCCGCTACAACATGACATTCCAATGGGTATATTTTAGTGATATCGGATTGAATAGTCCCTACAGCGGTCACCTAACAGTAGCATAGACAACGTTTAACTTATACCACCTTGTAATAGTGTAATTAGTTACATGTATTCAATAAGTAAACACATGAATCT